ACAAAGAAGTCTCCCAGTGCATTAGCAGAAACGAGGGAGGCAGATAAACAAACCTGCACCACCCTCTAAAAGGAGCTGAAGAAAGCTAAAGAAAAGGAAAAACAGGCAACCTAGAATTGCCTCAAAGTTCCAGCCTTGCTGATTCCAGCCCAACACGAAGTAAGCTGCCAGAACTCTACAGCCTCCAGTTGCCAACATAAGAGGACCCAGCACACAAAGCCAGTGACCAAGACCTAGGCTCCCAACACAAGAAGCTTGGGTCAGTGCCCTTTGTTCCCCAGCAGGAGAGCTCAATCTCTTTAAAGGCCAGGGAATAAAGAAACACCATGAGTAAAAAGAAACATACCATAGATTCATATTATGAGAAGAGTGAAGATCAAGACAGAAATTCTGAAGAGGACAACATTGTCAACAAACCCACATCTGAAACGTCAAAAGGGAATATGAACTGGTCTGAAGCCCAAAAAGCCTTCTTAGAAGAGCTCAAGAAGGATTTTAAAAGTCTAATGAGAGAGGTAGAAGAGTCCTTAAAAAATACAATTGGCCAATTGGAAAAAAAGTACACTGAAGAAAACAAGTCCCTAAAAAACACAATTGGCAAACTGGAAAAAAAGTACACTGAAGAAAACAAATCCCTTAAAAATACAATTGGCCAATTGAAGAAGGAAGTACAAAAACTAACAGAAGAAAACAATCTGTTAAAAACTAGAATTGGACAAATGGAAACTAATGACTCTATGAGAGAGCAAGAATCAGTCAAACAGAAACAAAAAAATGAAAAAATAGATGAAAACATAAAATACCTCATTGGTAAAACAACCGACCTGGAAAATCAGTCCAGGAGAGACAATTTAAAAATCATTGGACTACCTGAAAATCATGATGAAAAAAAAGAGCCTGGACAGTATCTTTCAGGAAATCATAAAGGAAAACTGCCCAGAAGCCCTAGAACCAGAAGGAAAATAACCATAGAAAGAATACACCTCACCACCTGAAAGAGATCCCAAATTGACAACACCAAGGAATATAATAGCAAAATTCCAAAATTACCAGATGAAAGAGAAGGTGCTGCAAGCAGCCAGAAAGAAACAATTTAAATATCATGGAACCACAGTCAGGATTACACAGGACCTTGCAGCTTCTACATTAAAAGACTGCAGGGTGGAACATGATATTCCATAAGGCAAAGGAGCTTGGATTGCAGCCAAGGATCAACTACCCTGCAAAAATGAGCATGATTTTTCAAGGGAGGAGATGGATATTCAAAAATAGGACTTCCAAACCTTCCTCATAAAAAGACCAGAGCTCAACAAAAAATTTGATCTTCAAGTCAAGATTCAAGAAAGACATAAAAAGGTAAATGGGACAGAAAGATACAAAATGTTGTTAATAAGGGCAGACTGTTTACATCCCTACAAGGGAAGATGACACTTGCAACTCTTGAGAACTGTATTGTTATTACACCATGTTAAAGGAGTATACATAAAGGGGTGGATATTAGTTGACTTTGATGTAATGATAAAAAAAAATCTAATCAAGTGGGTTAAATGGATCCAAGTAAGTGGATTAGTCTGATCTTAGAAAATACTGAGAAAGGAGGAGGCAGACAAGGGTAAATTACATTACAGGAAAAGACAGAAAATCCCATTACAGCAGAGGGAAAGAAAGGAGGGGGGTGAGGATTGTTTGAACCTTGCTCTCATCAGATTTGGCTCAAGAAGGGAATAACATCATCAGTTAGGTATGGAAATCTAACTTGCCCTATGGGCAGTAGGAGGGAAAAGGGGAAAGAAAAGGGAGGGGGGATGGAAGGAAGGGAAGAAGCAGTAGGGGCGAAGGGGAAGAGGGAGGAGGGGGATGATAGAAGGGAGGAGAGACTGAAGGAGGCGGTGGTCAAAAGCAAAGTACTGGTGAGTGGGGAAGGGAGAGAGGAGAAAGAAAAGCATAAACGGGGGGGAAAAGGATGGAGAAAAAGACAGATAGTAATCATAACTGTGAAAGTTGAATCGTCTTTTTTTTTCTCCTGATGAGTTTTGTTTCCTCTTTCTGATGGTTCCTCCTATTGGTTTTAATTTCACTAATGTGAAAATATGTTTAATAGGAATGTAAATGTATAGCCTTTATCACATTGTGCACTGTCTTGGGGAGGGTGGTGGGGAGGAAGGAGGAGAAAAATTTTAAACTCAAAAGCGTGGAAGTGATTGTTGATAAATCAAAATAAATTGATAAATCACAATAAAAAAATAAAATAAAATATCATCTCATTTCTTCCTCTTATTTTTTGCCTTATCTAGCATAATTTTATCTGTTTTACTTTTCATGGAGAGCATAGCTTGTCTATAATTATTTTCTCTTTGTTCTTGCTATTACCTTCAGATAAGGTAGAACTTCTAGAAAACAAAATAGTTTTGTCTTCTCTTTGCTGCTTGTAAATATTAATATAGTTGCTTGATTTATTTTTTGCCTCCTTAGACTTGTTCACCTTTTTTAAAGTTTTCTTTTGCTTGATGAATTTATATTCCCAAATTCTTATTCAACTGTATTTCCTTTCTTTTCTCATGATTAGCATATGGTTTTGCACATTCTAACTGATTTTCCTTGATTTGTGAGAGCCTCTGTTGTTTACAAGATTCTTTCATTTTGATGTTCTAGAATTTGGCAACTACATTTCTGGGTTAGTTAAACTTTGGATTCTTCTCTGACAGGGTCAGGTATACTTTGCTGTCAGTTACCTTTTCCTCTGAAAGGCTGATCTATTACTATGTCTACCTACTACCTTCGAATTTCAGTTTTAGTCATTTTTGTTCCTTCCTCTCCTGAGGAATTCTAGTTGAGAGGAAATCTTAGTGGTTGGTCTGAAGGACTCTAGAAGTGTAGGGGTTCAAATCTGCTTGAGGTGAGCATAAGTGTTTTTTGCTAAGAATAACCACATTTTTTCATTTATATTTTAAAAATCCCTCTGGACTTAAAGATGGCCTGAACTATTTTTGATGACCTATGATTTATCCAGACTAGATTTTCAATTCTGCACATACCCCTCTCCTAGAACAACCTATTATTAGTAATAGCTCAGATTTTTTTTTTTTTGGCTAGGTAATGGGGTTAAGTGACTTGCCCAGGGTCACACAGCTAGTAAGTGTTATGTGTCTAAGGCTGGATTTGAACTCAGGTTCTCCTGAATTCAGGGCCAGTCGTCTATCCACTGCACTACCTAGCTTCCCATAATGGGTCAGGTATATACAAATGACAAAACATTTACTAAGTCTTTAGTGTTTGATAGGTACTTGTGTTAATCACTAAAGATACAAATACAAAAAATAAAAGAGTCCTTGTCCTCAAAGAGCTTATATTACAATAGGGAAAGAAAACATAGAGGGGGAATGTTCAGAGGGAAGGGCATTTTGGTCTGAAGAATCAAAGTAGCATGATAGGAAGAAGTAGGAAGGAAGAAGTAGTGTGTGTGAGCAATTGTATGGTGGAAAGATGACTAGAATACAGTGTGGTGGGATTGGGGATGTGGTAGATAACTGTTACTATAGCAGATCTGTGAGGAGGATAGTACAATTACTACCTTCATTGACAAGTAAGGAGATTTAAGACAAGTTAAATGACTTGCGTGAAGTCATATAGCTAATAAGTGATAGAGGTGAGACTTGAACCCAGGTTGTCTAGTCAAAATCCGTAATCCATTTTTCACTTACACCATCTTGACTCTGCTAGCTTCATGAGACTGGAATGAATGCTCCATGCTTTGTTACCTTCTCCATTATCATCCTGACTTTTTGCTTGCTCACTTAGTTATCTCAGCTATCCCCTCTTTTTTTTTCAAATTCCTAATGAAAAGCTATGCCTTTCTCGATACAGAGCCATCAAAAAAATTAAGATTTTGGGAAGAAACAGAGACAAAACACTAGCAATACAGTGTGTCCTACCTCCTACACCTTCCTCAGTATGAGGAATATTTGTTTCTTAGACATCTCAAAAGGAGAGTTTGTTATATATCCTAATCACCTAATATAGTACCTGGTACTTGGTAAGTGCTTTACAAATAAATGGTTGTTGATTGATGGAATATAATATCGTCCTATAGTGTAGGCCTGTCAGTGCAGACCAACTAATAGAATAGCTGCAAAAGCTTAAAACTATGCAGAGACCGTATGAGGTTCCTAGTCCAATGTTTCCACAGTACTGTGCTTCGTCAACACAGTACTCAGTCTCATTTAAGGTGTTATTTTTGCTAGCATGTTATTTGTCTCTCAAACATAGAAAGTTTTAATTGTTTTTGAAGCTTAAAATTGTGTGTGTGTGTTTGTATGTGTTTGTGTGTCCACTGCTCTGTGACAACCTGGACTGTTTCATTTATGTCTTTGTATTCTTAGCTCTTATTATAGTGCCTGGGCACAGAGTTAGTGCAATCTATCACCTCTTCTATAAGATGGGTACAGTACTTTTTCTGCCCAACTTTCCTTTCTCCCAGTTGTGAAAAGCAAATGAGATAATTTATGCAAAACATTATATAAATAAATATAAAGTGGTTTGATGAATTTATTTTCTACTACTACATTACTGGTCTTTGTTTCATTTGTTTTTTCTGTTTGGGGTATTTTGGACCTTTTATAGCAGGTGAGTTTTATTTGAAAGCTGTACAGTTTTCTGCTTTGCTTGGCACATTTTTTGGAGTTCAGGAATCTGAATTATTATTTGGCTGCTTGCAAGAAAACATCTGTGTGTATGTATGTAGAATCATGTAATAATTCATGTGTTTTCCTTATTGCTTTGTTGCACTTCTTTCTTTGTTCTGTTATAGATCATTCATCTTTATTACTTTAGGTGAGTGGGTAACACATCTCCACTTGTTTCATGTAATTTTATGGTATGAAATGCTTAAATTTGCTCAACTGTTCAGGGTAGAACCCTCTTCCAGTGAAGTTAAAACATTTGAAGTTTGTCAAGAAAGTTTCCTTCTATTGAGTAATTTGTTATAATATATTCTGTTTCAGTATCTGTTACTATGGCAATGACTGCGGGGACTACAACAACTTTTCCCATGAGCAACCACACCCGGGAAAGAGTGACTGTAGCTAAACTCACATTGGAGAATTTCTACAGCAACCTAATTTTACAGCATGAAGAAAGAGAAACCAGGTATGGGAAAAAATGGGTCTAAGTCAGTTTCTTACGTTGTTTGGGCTGTTACATTGATTGGTCAGAATACAAGTGTGTTTTCCATTAAGAAATTTTACAATATGGAATAAACCATGCTACTTCTGAATAGCCAGCACTTAGTGGAAATTCATTTACTCATTGGTTTGGTTTCCAGAAGTGCTGCCTCAAGGCATATTCAATTCTGATCAAACAAGTGCTCAAATCACACACAAACTAAACACACATAAAATTGTCTAGTTGGGAAAAATGTGTTATATCTGTGTATTGTTTTTAGTGGACATATTCCCAAGCTGTTTTTTTTTAATTGGTAGTAGCTAACATTTTGAAACTATGTTTATGGGCTTACAGGGTTGCTTAGGCCAACCATCCCCTTCTCTACACAGGATATAGAATTAGGGACAAAAATAGTAAATTGAGAAAATTTACATTTTCATAATAGTAGCCATTGGTACTTTGCAAGATTGACTTAAAACATATAATAATTACACAATCACAAAATTGTCTGCTTTAATTGTAGGCATTGCCTAAGGTATCTTGGAAATATCAGTCTCCCTACATCTGTCTCTTAAAGTCCTTCAGAGGTCCAGTCCAAACAAGTTCTTCTCCATGAAGTCTTTTCTGGTCCTTCCTGTCAAAAGTGATAGCATAGCATTTTGTACTCCTTACCACTACTTGCTGAATTGTTGGTATCTTGAGGGCAGAGACTGATGTGTTATTCATCTTTGTATCCCCTATACCATCTAGCATAGGACATTATACAAACATAATAGCATTCAATAAATGTGGGGATGGAGTGCTATTTTTGGGTGGCTACTGAATGCCCATTGGAACACAAGCTTCCCAAAGGGAAATATTGTACTTTCTTAGTGCCTTAGTCATATGTTCCAGCTAACATTAGTGAGCAGTGCAGGTCCTTAATTATTATCAGTTTGAATGAATAAATCAATTTTCTGAGGTCTAAAAACATTCCTGTAATTTGGTCAAATACTTCTTGCTGGATAGCTTTACCTGGACATTTCTCTGGTACTTCAAACTCTGTGTTGAAAATTGAACTCCTCTTACGTCTACTGAAACTTACCCCTTTTCCCAGTTTCCTCTTTTGCTGTTGTTGCTGTCGCTGTTGCTGATGTCGTTGATGGCATTACTGTCCTCTCAGGTTGGGCACCATCTTTGACCCTTCCTTCTCCTTCACAAACCCCCACCCATCAGTTGCCAGGTCCTTCAATATTGCTTCACAGTATGTCTTTCATCCACCCCCTACTCCCACATCTACTGTCCTATTTCGGGTCCTAATTTTATCCTGGGTTATTGTGACAGCTTCTTAACACTTCTTCTACCTTGCAGCATGTTCTCTTCCAGTCCATCCTTCACACAACTGCCAAAATAATATGAATAATGCAGAGGTGTGAGCATGTTGCTGTCCTGCTCACAAACCTTTAGGGATTCCTTGTTGTCTGTAGGATAAAATGCAGATGCCTTAGCTTGGCATTTCAGACGCATCATAAGATAGCTACCTCTTATTTTTCCAGCCTGATTTCTTACACTTTCCTTTACATCTTCTACTCTATATCATAGCTATATCATACTATATCTACATCTGTATTTTCCATCTCTGCATTCACCCAGGCCTGCCCCATGTCTGGGGAATGTGTTACCTCTTCACTAATGCCTGTTAAAATCTTTCTCTTCCTTCAAGGCCTAGATCTTCCTTGAAGTATTGTGTTATTCCTCCCACCACCCCATTGTTAAAAATAATTACTAGCATTCTGATTTTTTTTTTTTGCTTTTTGGTGAGGCAATCAGGATTAAGTGACTTGCCTAGGGTCACACAGCTAGTTAAGTGTCAAGTGTCTGAGGCCAGATTTGAACTCAGGTCCTCCTGACTCCAAGGCTGGAACTCTATGCACTGCACCACCTAGCTGCCCAAATATGTGTTTTGATGTATATTTGTTATTGTTCACTTATTTCAGTCATGTCTGACTCTTCATGACCCCCGTTTGGGGTTGCTTTCTGAATTTTCATGGAGTACTTTGGCCTTTCCCTTTGCACATAAGACATTTTTACCTTATACTTATTTATTTACATGCTATATTCCCTTGTATAAGACCATAAGCTCCCTGGGGCCAGGGACTATGAAGTCTTAAGCTTTGTATCCCAAATACCATACATAGTACCTTGCACATTAACAGTTACTTCTTAAATTTTTGTTGAATTCAATTCTGCTTTGTGGTACATATCATATATTATAGTTTTGTATGTTGTTATTCAGTCATTCTAATAGTGTCTGACTCTTTGTGACTCCATTTGGGGTTTTTTTGGCAAAGATACTAGAGTGGTTTGTCATTCTTCATTTTATTCTTTCTCCAGCTCATTTTACAGATAAGGAAATTGAAGCAAACAAGGTTAAGTGACTTAACCAGGGTCACACAGCAAGTAGTGTTTGAGACCAGATTTGAGCTTAGAGTAATTTGAGGCACCGAGAGATTGTTTCTCTTCTAAAGTTACACAGCTGGAGAGCCACTGAGGCAGGATTTGAACCCAAGTCTTACTAGCTGTAAACCCTGTTCCCTATCCATTCACTCTTCTGAATATCAATTGAAGTAAAAAGTAATTAAACTATCCATACCTTTTAGCCCACTTTATGAAACTTATGATCCTGGGAAAAAAATAATAGCTTGCATTTACACAGATTACTTATTACTGTAGTATATTATAGTATATATTCATTTGTCTATAAATGAGTGGGTTGATCTCTCAGGTCCCTTTGAATGCTAAATGTGTATTAAGTGAGTTAGAGAAAAATATCATTTTCTACAAGGTTTGAGGAAGGAATATCCAACATTGAGACTTGCCTTTAAATGATAGCAAGGTAAAATGTTTTCTACATATTGGTTGATTGCTCAGAGATCAGTCTTTAAGCTTGATGTCCACATTGTGTGACATATTCTACCATCTAAGAGAAATCATGCACTCATTTTTAAAGGAGAGATTTTTAGAATCTTCCACTCCTGCCATCTTGTTTATTAATCCCTTCTCTCGTATCCACCAAGCAGAGGTTTGAGAAAAAGTGGTCATTATCATTGTTAAAGGCATCCTTAATCATTTCTCTCTGTGTCATGCCATGCAAGTTATTATTCAAAATGAATATAAAATTGTCCCTGGCCTTTCTAGCCTGTGATATTGAGAGAGTATGGATAATGACAACAGACTTAGAAAGGACATAGAAAAGTGGGCAAGTGCAAAAGTAGAATATAACAAGAAGATAATATTTTTATGGGGTAATAGGTAGTGGGAAATGATGGGGATTGAAAGTTTACCTAAGGTAGGCCCAGAAGAAACTTCCCACGTTGCTTCCAAATAAAGATGTTTTCGTGATGTATATGGGATTTCAGGAAAATTTTTAATGAAAGAAGAGGACTTGGCAAGCTTTGGAGAGAGACTTGAAGGAAGACTTGGACATAGTGGGCTAATTAATGAGGATGAGTAGACTTGCTTATTACAGGCTCATTAATCCATTGTGTTACTGCTAAGGTTAAAGTCAGGACACCAGCATTTGATCAGCAAACTTTAAATATTCTAGTCATAGATTTAATTTCATAGAAAACAAATGTAGGTGACTAAAAATGTGGTTCCAAAGGAGGCTCTTGTGCCGTGTTATCATTCTGAGTCTGTCCAAAGATTTATGTGCCTGCATAATTTTTATCCCTAGTTGGTTAAGTCATTTTAATGCAGAGGCCAGTCCTATTTTGGTATATTGTAATGCTTATTGGTATGTGGCATCCCTGTTTTTCCTTAGATAGAGTGGTGCTGTAAAATTACTCTGAAGTATTTGCTTGGAAATAAGTTACAAAATTTCCTCCTTACTTCCCTTCTGCTTCCTTATGCCAAAACACACAAATTCTCTCTCTCTCTCTCTCTCTCTCTCTCTCTCTCTCTCTCTCTCTCTCTAGCACACAACAAAAACATCAGCAACAGTGCCTAGGGTGGCTTTCATTTAATTGATTAATTGATTGATTAATTGATCGATTAATTGATTCAAACATTTTTCATAAATAATTCCCTTTTGCTACCTGTAACAATCGTATTAGCATAAAATCTGTGTTATTTGGCTGATGGTGATTAGGCTGGCATAGTTAATTAAATGTCCTAGTCAATAATAATTTGACCTACAGACATATAGATACCATCCTCTCCTAAAACCCTACTCCTGCTCCCTTTGTCTGGACCCATAGTTTCTTTAGTGTAGGGAGCTGTCTGTGAGGAACTTCCCTCCTCCAATGCAGTTACATACTCTTCTCCATTATTTACAGTCTTAGGGGACTTCCCTGGGGCCCTGAAAGGCTGTGACTGACTCAAGAGTCCCATAGCCAGGATGTCAGAGTTGAACCTAGAGCCAGATTTTCATTCTGAGGTCAGCTCTCTACTACATCATACTGCCTCCATAGCTTTGTAATTATCAAGCAATTAAAATACTGTAAATATTTTGGTACCTGTCGTCAGGATGTCAAAGTGGAGACTAGAACCAGATCTTCTTCATTCTGAGGTCAGCTGTCTGCTATGTCATACTGCCTTCATGGTTGCATAATTATCAAACAATTAAAAAGTACAAAATACTTCTGATGCCAAACTGTTTTTAACATGATTTTTTACTTGGTGATTTAGAAGGCACTTTAGAATCTTGCCTTTATTCAGGTTTGCTATTATAAATGTAATAGGTGCAAACGGTACTTGCCCACGGTGTAAAGCCTCACACCTTTCACATGGACATGTGGACACCTACTTGCCTTTAGGTTTGCCTTACCCCTTCCAACTTACTCTCAGACTGGCAGATCTAGTTTCTCAGAGAAGGACTAAATTTTCTGACGGTGCCTAAGCCACAGAAGACTTTGGAGAGTCCTTTGGACAGCAAGGAGATCAAATCAGTCATTACTTAAAGAAATTAACTCTGTTTATTGGAAGGACAAATATTGAAGCTGAGG